GCCCCCCCCCCCCCGCCGTGCCCTCCCCGCCGGGTAGGCTGCCCCGCGGGGCGTCCCCCGGAGCCCCCGGCCGGCGAGGAGCGGCGACGCGACGCGAAGCGGAGGGAGGGAGGGAGGAGGGGAGGCGGGAAATAGCGCAGCCCCAGCTCTCGCGAGAGCTCCCTGGCACCGCCACCCGGCAGTTGTAACGGCCGTAACCTGGCAGTCGTTGTTTACGGCGGCGTAGCCAATGGGAAGGCGAGGCACGTGGGCGGCGCTGGGGAGCCAGGCCAATGGGAGGGAGGGGCGGCGCGTTTAAACAGCGCGGGTGCCGAGGCCGGCCCTCCGGGGGTTTGTGGCGGTTGCGTCGCCATGCCCGGCCGCCCTGACGACTACGAGGTGCTGCTCACCATCGGCGCCGGGTCCTACGGCAGGTGCCGCAAGGTGCGCCGCAAGGCCGACGGCAAGGTGAGGCGGCGGCGGTAGCGGTAGCGGTAGCGGCGGTGGGGGCTGGGGCATCGTAGCGTGCCGGTGCTGTCCGTTTCAGCTGGGTGCTGGCGGGTCTCGGAGATAAGCGAGCGGCTTCGAAAGCCCCTCTTCCCCGCTCCCGCAGAGGTCTGGCTCGTGTATAAAAGCCTCACCCCCTAAGGTGCTTTTTCCCTCCCTAGATCTTGGTATGGAAGGAGCTTGACTACGGCTCAATGACAGAGGCAGAGAAACAAATGCTTGTTTCGGAAGTGAATTTGCTTCGTGAGCTGAGACATCCGAATATCGTCCGCTATTACGACCGGATCATCGACAGAAGCAGCACCACCCTGTACATCGTGATGGAGTACTGTGATGGTGGTGACCTGGCTAGCTTAATTGCAAGGTGCACAAAAGAAAGGCACGTGGAATCAATCTGTCTGTGGTAATGTTGGAGTATCCAGCATTAAGTATCTTGGGAAATCAAAAGAAAAGTGAAATGTATCTCCTCTTCATAACTTTAAGTTATGAGCAACTTTAAGTTTAATCCTTTGGACCGAACAACTCTTCTGAAATGTGAAAGGTTTTGTACAAATTTACAACACCAATGGGAATTGCGCCAATGAATGCACCAACTGATTGGATGTTTATGTTGAAATAGTAAAAAAACTGAGCTCTATTATGAGGCAGAAGCTGTTGAAGGGTTTCTGGATGCCATGCTATACATGGGGTTGAAAACATAAACCAGCAAGTCATAGTTCTTGCATATAGGTAGCTTGATCTGTGAGGTTCTTCTGGTTTGCCCGTCAGTAAAACCACTTGCACCCTATTTTCTGTTAGAACGCCAAAATACATGAAAGGGAAAAGTGATTCTGAACATGATGTTAAAAGCTACTTTATGTGCCTGTATATAAAGCTTGTGGAGACACCAAGTTGATGAGACTTTACCTTGGTCTAATCTTAGACTTAGCAGCCTACTTAAGTATAATACCCGTTTTCACATTCTTAGGTTAAACAAGTGCGTGACACCACATGTGTTACTTTGGAAGAATAGTCTAAAATGGTACTGCAGTTGTCCCCAAACATCAGTGTTTTCATTTAAGGAAGGCTATATTAAAAATCAGTCCTGTCTTGGCTTTGTTGTTGTTGTATGTTGCTCATTATGAACAGCTGACAATATACTGTTATAAGTGATGAGAGGGACAGATCTCATCACAAAAGCATCAAATTGATATTTGTGTTGTAAGTAATGGAAATGCTACATATTTGTTAGACTCTTTGGAGGAGGAAGGAAATATTACAGGGATGCTGCAACAAAAGTCTAGATGTCTTCCAACATATTTGGAATGATTTTTTTAAATTTCCATTTTTAAAATAGCATATGTAGGTAGGTGCCTGTTGCTGTTAGTTTTCTATAAAGGTGCCGGGGTTGATTCAGTGATGTTTTATAATAGTAGTATTTTAAAAGTTACAGAACTAGGACTGGCAGCAGCTACTTTAACTGATGTATGCTCAGAGAATATCTTTTTAAACAATGTATTCATCTTTCAGGCATTACTTGGAAGAAAGCTTTGTTCTCCGAGTATTGACTCAATTGACATTGGCCTTGAAGGAATGTCACAGACGGAGTGATGGTGGAGTCACTGTGCATCGTGACCTAAAACCAGCAAATGTCTTTCTAGATGGCAAGCAGAATGTGAAACTTGGAGATTTTGGACTGGCTAGAATATTGCACCATGACACCAGCTTTGCCAAAACATTCGTTGGAACTCCATATTATATGTCTCCAGTAAGACCTCCCTTCTGTGCCTTATCTTCCCTTTTGTCCCTCCAAGATCTGTTTTCTTCAGTGTTGGTCTCAGAGTCCATGAATGTTTGGGAGGTTTTAATGAAGAGTTCCTAGTCTTAAATGCAGGTGACTTTTTTCATGGAGTGTATATGTTCTGGAGACCAAGGTTATTTTGCAGTTATTTTCATCTTTCTTCCCCACACCGTCACTGCCTTCTAATTAAAGTTGCTCTTCGCTCTGTAAGTTTTGATGTATTCTTGCAATGTTAGAGATATGTTGGAGTATATAGTTCCTGAAAAGGAACAGGGAAGCTAGAGCACTTTTATGTTTCATAGTGTTAAGGTCAAGAGCTTATTAAATTACCTCTTGATGGTAGGATTTTAATTTGTAGTGGAAATGAGCAAGAATGAGTTATTTCCCTGATATGGTGCATTTTGTGAGGGAAAGATGAATGTTGGCTGAAATATGGTGTTGTATCAGCTGAAGATTGGTGCAACACTTCAGTCTTCTACAGCGTAGTACTGCCATAACTTGTTAAAATCCTGCTAGTAAGAGTAGCTGTGGAGATTAATTAAGTTAGAATCTTAAAACTAACTCCAGTAAGTAATGGTTTAATTTAGGTTTGAACAGTTGTTGATTATCCTGCAATAGTAGAACAATGTCTTAGTTAATAAACCTAAGATTGTTCTCTTTCTTTAGGAACAAATGAACCACATGTCATACAATGAAAAATCTGACATCTGGTCCCTAGGATGTCTCCTGTATGAACTATGTGCTCTCTCGTAAGTATAGTAGTGTGGTAGTTAATGTGGAAACTTAGCTGTTAATGCATGTATCATTAAATTTTGTATAGATGAAAGCTTAAAGGTTTCAGAGACGAGTCCTAGATTTTTATTTCTGTATTGGTCTTGACATCAAAACAAACCTTTTATTGTGGCTTTTTTTAGTCTGATACATTTTTATGGAGAATAAGTCCTGTAAAACTAGTGAAAGAATCCAAGAAAAATGTTCTTCTTCAGGCCTCCATTTAGAGCTTACAACCAAAAGGAGTTGGCAGAAAAGATAAGGGAAGGGAAGTTCAGACGAATACCATATCGTTACTCAGAGCAGTTGAATGAACTTCTCAAAGAGATGCTGAATGTAAAGGTAAGAGTCAATTACTATTTTTTCCACCTATAATTTGAACTAGTACTGAAATACTAGTTTTTCTTCTCAATTAAGAAACAAACTGATCTGGAGTTGTGGTTGCTAATCACCTTGTCATCACTGTCAATATCACTTGTAGGAGAAGGAGGAAGGAATTGTGCTTTGAGTCCATTAAACAAAGGCAGCAGATGAAGTGTTATGCTAGGTTCACAGGATGCAAAAAGACTGTCTCAGTATTGGCTTATAGAGAATTTCATAACAGCATGTTTAACAAGGTCTTATAACTTCAGGACTAAAATGGTTCCAGTGTGTTTGGAAGTTGGAAGGGGTTGTTTTGTCTCCATTTCGGGTTTTGATTCATATGGCTAATGTATAGCTCGCCCCCCATGGCTGGCATGGGGATGTTGAGAAGAATACTGCATGAGACAACAAAGCTGTAACAAGAACCCAAGTCTCCAACAGGTATGGATCCTTCAAGAATCAAGTGACAGGCAGAGATGGGAGTGTTAGCTCCAGAACCTATGGACAATTGCCTCTGTAGGCTCCCCACCCCATTCTGGCTCTAAAAGGAGCAGGTGCCTGGGCTGGGAGACCCAGACTTTGAGCTTCTGGAGCTGAAGGCTGGTAACAGCCTTCTCCCTCAACTTTTGTCATCTGGCTGTGCTACCCTTCCTAACTCCATTTTTCTCCAACTTCTCCTTCACTGTATAGCACCTCAGCTGGTTTCTACCTGCAGTGGGTCTTGCTTGGAAATCCCTGGCCTTAACGTTTCTTGGTTACGGATGGAACCTGTTGGTAATGTCTTTCCTTTAGGATTATTGCCGACCTTCTGTTGAAGATATTCTGCAGCACCCCTTGATAGCAGATTTGGTGACAGAAGAACAAAGACAAAATTCTGATAAAAGAGGCCGGAGATCATGGGAGCCAGAAAGGCTGCAGCATTCAGATGCTGCAGTGAATGAGCTGAAACGGAAGGAACAACAATTACAGGAGCGAGAACAAGCCATTAAAGACAGAGAGCAACGTTTGGAGCGTATGATATTCCACTTTGGGAAGGGGGTGGCAATGGGATTCTGATTCAAAAGAATAAGTGCAGAGGAAGGAAAGGTAGACAGTTTTCAAAACTCTCATTTTAATGCACTAGGATATTGTACTCCTGCATTCACTACTAAAATTCAGTCTAAAGACTGAAACAAGAATGCTTGGGCTTTTACTCATAGATAGTAGTTCTTGTTTTAAGTTACTAAGATATAATTGGCAGTTTGGATAGAAGTCTGGTTTGGGAAGATTATTAAACATGAGTGACAATTAGGAAAGTATGCAGAAAAATGGAGTATGAATATAGTTCTGCACTGTGCAGTGTAGGTTGCTTTTCACCTACTCTGTGTAAGCGAACATTGGCTCTACTAATGTATAACCTAAGGTGAGCCTGATGTTGGAGCAAAATATACTTGAGTAAACTGTCAACAGCTTTTATAAAAGCTGCACCCTACAGGCAGCTTACCTGTGAAACTATAGATGGCTGGTCTTCAGGTGTTGGGATTTCCTGCCCACATAAAATATGTCTTTGTATATGCAGTAGTCTCTGTAATACAGATTTTAACCATATATATTGTTTTCTGAGCCTGAGTAACAGCTGCTGCTGCTGTAAACAGGGTGTTTAGTCATAGCTGAATTACAGTATCTGGTATCTAAATATTTAGAACTGGTGTCATGTGTGCCATGAGTTCATGTGCAGAATAGAAAGCTGCTATAGCTTCACTGTTGCAGCTATAGCAGCGTTTGGGGGGGGAAGTGTGCCTGGCATTTCAGAGTACTTGTCCAGTGCTTTATCAGTGCATTGACAAAGGTATATCTACACAGCAGTTATTCTTGTTTAGAGCCATAGAAGCAGAAATGGTGCATCTGACAGTTTATTACTGCTGTCTTTTTCTGCAAGAAAATCCATCATGCACAATCACTCTAACTTTAACATTTACATTTTAACACTGCATACTACCATATTTCTACTTCCAGAGAGAGAACGGGAACTCTGTGTTCGAGAGAGACTGGCAGAGGACAAACTTGCTAGGTATCTTACTAACCGATAATTGCCTATATTAGAAACTCTACAATCTTACAACAAAAAGCTTAAACGTCTCTTTTCAAAACAGAGCTGAAAACCTGATGAGGAACTACAATCTCTACAAACAGCAGAGGACATTAGCTTGTGCAGATGGTCCAGGTATGAAAATATGCAAGAAGCCACTTGCACTGATAAACGTAGGCTGGTATGACCAGAAGAATGCCCCTGATGCTCAGCGTGCTGTGCCTAGTCCCATTGTAGCCATACAAACCCCAATTATCTCTGCGTGGTTGGGAAGAGACTCTTGATTTTCTACTTTGCAAAAAGACTTAATGAATGATGCTCAACCATGAGTATGAGTTACCACTGTCAGCACTGTGGTCTTATGCTGTTTTGAAAATTAGGTTCTTATGGTAAGCTAATGGAAGTGCTGACTTGTAACCCAAATGTTTCTGAGCTGCACTTATTTTACTTATGAATGTCTTTTTATAGACCTTTGTTTTAGTTAATTTTAATAAAATTGCACATGTCTAATCACTTCAGCTTTAGTTCAACTTCCAAAAACTTCAGTGTGGGAAATAATATTTGTTGCCAGTGACCCAGCTGTGATTGGTGCATTGTATAAGTTCTGAAGAATACAAACTGCTATTATCATACTCCAGTTTAACTCACTAGAAAAAAAAAAAACCACAACAAAACCCCCCCCCAAAACAAAACAGTTTTGAAAATGTGCTATAATGCTTACTGACTAGCTGTAGTCCAATCTGTTTTATAGTGGTTATTACCCCATAAGTATTTGACACTCACTTTGGCCTCAGTTGTTCAGTCCTTACTATCATAAGAGGTAGTATTGTCTGTTCATTGCACCCATCTTTTAATAGTAAAAATGATTGAAGTATCTAAATGCATTTTGAAATAGTGGTAGAATATTTAAGTGGCTGAGTCCGAAGTAGTACTCTAGAACAAAGAAATGTGAACACTCTATAACATGCAGCAACAATCTCTTCATTTAGTTTTGGTCAGATAAAACAAGATAAGCACGTCACTGCCTCTAATACAAATAAAACTGAAGTTGCATTTTTTTCAAGAAGTGCCTATCACAGCAGGAAAGAACACAAGTAAAATGCCACCAGAAGTTAGTGGTACTTGAGCCATTTCTAACATTCCTGTCAATTTTGAGAATTCCACCTGTTTCTCAATATATTGTCTGACTTCATATTCTTTAATGTATCAAAATTAAGAATAAACTTGCCTTGGGCTTTCTGATGTTGCCTCTACCACTGGATGACTGAAGGTTAACGAGCTTCAGCATTTGCTTCTGTTCTCTTCTGCATCTCCTACCCCTTTATGTGATACTTTGACCTTAACAGGGGTATTAGTTTTTGAAGATGGGCAAAACCACTTTGAGCAGTTAATACCTCAAGACAGACAATGCAGAAAAGTGAATATAGTTATTACAAGACTAAGTCTTGCAATAGCTGTAGATTACTTGATTAAACATTTGTCACAATGTTTGCTACACTTCTAATTCATTCCATGGTACTCTTGTAATACTGTTTCTCAAATTCTCCCTGTCTGGATAGGAATGGACTAAGTGTTTCTCCAATATGTTACCAAGACCACTTGCTTCTGTTATTTTTAGTTTCTCAACTATTACTGTATTTTTCACAACTGGGTTGCATCTTGCACATCTCTTGGATCCCTAATTCTTCTCAAAGTCAGTTGTGTGGTTCACTTCACATTGAAATGGAATACCAAAAATCCTGGGTCCTAAGACAGTGTCCCTTCTTAGGGAAGGATTTAATGTTAAAACAGATATAGCTTACTGACATGAAACAACAAAATGCTGAAACATTCACTAGCCTCTTCAGTTTGGTACTGCTCACTCTTTTGTGCTTATTGCACTCTTGCTCTAGCCTAATTAATTGAAAATTAAGGCTTCAGCAGTGTTAAGATTAGGATAGTTAGACCTTTGATTAAAAATAAATAATTAAAAATCACACCTTAAGTTGAGCCTTGTGAAATTGCCTCTTATGATAGGCAACTCAGCTGTTTTAATAGCTTTTGATGGTAGTTTTTGTACCCTGAGTCATTAAAACCAAAACAAACTAACTGCCTTTTGATTGTGGCAGTTCTATACACCTAAAACATAGCTATACTATGAAAATTCCTGTTCTGGAGGCTGAAGTGAAAGTAACTTGCTAATTTTTAATGCACCTAAACTCATTAATCATGAAATCAGAGCCTAGTTTGTACCCCATTGACTTAATACAAGGATAGAGTTGGAACAACGTGGGTAATGTAGAAAGACCTCTGGACAGGTTGGGTCTGCCCCCTGCCATGAAGGAAAGACAAGGTTTTTCAGTAGCTGAGACCCTAATTCTACATTTACCTTTGGAACTAGATTATGTTACTGTTTAATTTCTGTGCTTCAGAAGAAAGGCCATGTCTTTTCTCCTTATGTAAACTAATATTTCCTTAGGTGTTGGGAGGTGCACCCTAGAAACTACAATGGCATGTATCCTTTTACCACAATCATTTAAAAGCCTTGTTTTCGATTTTTCCTCAAAAAAATGGAAAAGAATTGTTGCTTTGAACTAAAATGTATTTAATTAGATCACTTAAAGCTGTAAGTAGATAGCAAAATGGTTAATAGCTTTAAAAGACATAAGCTAAACAATGAATGCTGAAAGATGCACTAATTCAGTACTTATTTTTTGATTTCTTAAGATAATGCATTCCTGCTCCCCTTTTCTACAAACAAAAAGAAAGTACACTTTGATGGAAGTGAAGAGAATGCTGTGCCTCCTGTTAATTTGGAGAACTATCCCCTTTCTAAAGGGAAATGCTCTGATCTCAAGAAACGTCTATATGCTGCAAATCTACGGGCTCAAGCACTGTCTGAACTGGAAAAAAACTATCAACTAAAGAGCAGACAAATCTTGGGCATGCGCTGAAACTGTAACATGGATGTTAAAAATGATTAAATGTTTAGGAAGATATTTGTGCCTCCCTCTTTTAAGCTGGAACCTACTGAAAATTTATTTTAACCGTTGTTAGACAAACTCTTAGTCTATGATAGGTAGTTCATGATAAAGGCATAAGAGATTATATTACAAAAAACAGGTAGTTTTGATACCAAATGAAACAAACTGAACGAACTGTATTATTAAAGAAAAAATATTTTGGTCCTCCTGTTTACCATACATTACTCTTTTGCAAATATAAAGAATGAATATTGTAAACCAGATTTTTCTAAATCTGGTGTGAAAAACTTTTCAGATTAAATATGTACAGAGATTCATAATCTGTAGGTTAAAATGATGCTGTATGTAATGTACAGTACTTGATAAAATAAGTATTGATATTTTGTATATGTGGAAAAACTGGCTTTTTTGTCTGCGCTTGTAAATATTTTTTAACTATCAAAAGAGCAAAAAGAGATTTTATGTTATCTCTTCCTACTAACTAGGTGACCTATCAAAGCAGGCTACTTTTAGTTTAATGTCTTTGGCTAATGAGTGGGATGGGTCAGCTTAGCATAATTGATGAGTTTATACTCATTTCTGCCTGGGCAGCTGAATGGCTTGTCCATCAGCTCCTGAAAGGCCTGCTTCAGGGCATAGCATTTGAAAGATACCTTCTTTGGTTTGTCTTGAAACTGTGTTATAACCTGATCTCCTGAGACTGCTGTCTTGGAAGGGACACCATCCAGGGTATTAGCACCTGTGTTTTGGGGAGGGGCAATTGTACTTTGAATAGCAAATCCTAATTTTCTTGAGGCTTTGAGGTGTTTCCATCTTTCCCTTCACAATTCTCTGCTGGAGTAGGAGTTGCTTGCTTAAGGTGGTGTAAGTTTCATGAACTCACTCAGACTCACGAATTAAAAAAAAAATCCTTTGGAACTGTAATGTCTGGCATATATTTTACATAAAAAAATTTTCTCTCTTGGTTGAAATGCCATAAAACATACATTCTTAGAAAACAGCTAATTTTCAAAACATTTGTTTCCGTATTGGGCCATGAATGTTATCTAAGGAGGTATTCTAGATGGTTTTTACTTGAAAAAAGAGAATCTTACTTGAAACATCAATTTAATTTGGTGTATTTGCTGATAGACATGTACTTGTGTCACCAAACAATAGTTCTGCTCTAGCAGATTCTTAACCACCCAGCAGAACTTATCATATTTGCTTGTATAGTGGTTACTGTTTTCACCACATCCTTTGCTTAAAAGAATTAGAATATGACCATTTTGTTTGCTAGTCTAAAACTACCACTATTCTGGTGGCCATTAGCCAGCACTAGGTGTGGTTGAAATGTCTGGCAGGTATGCGCAGCCAAAGCAGCTGTGCCATATGGATCAGTGCAGCTTTCCTTCTGCATTCTTTCATATTGTTGAAGATTCTCACACATATTTGGAGGGTGAATCCCTGCTTTCTCACCATGTTTGTACATTCAGATTTTTCTGTTCTGTGCCTCAACCGGAAAATCTGCAATGCAGTTCTACTGGCCTTCATGTGGATCTTTATTGTATAGCCCATAAAACATCAAAGGGTAGAATATGCAGTGGTGTTAGTCTAATCTAAAAAAATATGTAGGATGCAAGAATTTTGTTGCATGCTTTGTCGTCTGCAAAATGCAAGTACTGATTAGTGAAAGGAGGAAACCAAGCAATGAAGAAAATAAATTAGTAATTGATTCAGGAAAAGACTGCATTGTGAAATGGCTGGTGTTTGCAAATGCTTTGTTTTTAACAAGACCAAACTAAGAAAATGGCTCGAGAGTCTTTTTTTTTTCTTTGCACACATAGATGGAACAAATAATTTCTGCGTTTAAAAGTAAAATACCTTCAGCGATTACCTGCAGCTTTCCTCTTCCTTTAATTCTTTATTGACCTCAAGATGGCACTGTTGCCCTGTAATTGTTGGCAATTACCTTCAGTCTATTGATATATTCATGCAAAATTTAAGATCTGACTTAAATATATTTTTACCTGTTTTGTTTCAGAAAATCATAAGTGTGTTGCTGCAAGATGCTGATTTTCTTAGGCTACAGATGCTTTAGTACTTGCTGGTGCAATTATTTGTAATTATCTCCAATTTGCCATTTTGCATCTTTTATGCATGTTTTATAAAAATAGTTGAATCAAAGTCCTCGTTAACAATTACACTATTATGAATAAGAAATGCTATGGAGAGTGCAAACTGTATCAACCACAATGGCAGTAATAAATTAGAACAGCTTAAGTTACAGCTGTAGCACCAAGCTATTTAAACTGCGTTATTCACAATGTCTTCTTGAAGTATTATCACTCTAATATGATGAATGCAGTGTTTCATGAGGTTTTTTAAATAAGAACTTCCAACCAGTATCTGTCAAACATAGGGGAAGGCATCCTGGAGATGGTCTTCTTTCAGGATTTCTGCTTTGGAATCCTGAAATTCACATTTTCCTACAAAGGCATAATTGTTTTTCCCAGAGCACGTGTGTAGCATTGGAATCACATTCAGGATGTAATTTTCAAATATATTCGGGAAAATAAATAGAACATTTATGGGAATAGTGACTGCTTATAGAGTGCTTGCAAAACATTACCATCATGCTGATGGGTATACTTATCTCTTAGAAGTGAAGGTAAATTTGTACATATGTGTATGGTACAGCCTAAGCCTTACAGGATGATAATGGTGTACACTGTTGAATGTTGTGAGATAAATTCAATGATGTTTAATATAGATATCAGGAATTTTAACAATATGTATAGTTGTGGGCACACAGATGATACATAGAAGTGACCTCTGAAATTACAGAAGTTTTATATGCATAGAATATAATTTAGCTCAAGGATAGACTGGAGGGGAAGTTGCATCGTTTTTGAAAAATGTGGAGCAGATCCCTGATTTTCAGCCTTCGTGTGTGACCTTGATCAAGAAAGACCCTGTCCTGGGCCTTAGGTTCCCTTCTGTAACAGGCTCATCACAGGGGGGTGCTCAGAGACAACACTAGGATGCTGTACAGGTCTGCACTTTGGGCAGATTTTTGGTGGCAGTGGTGCAACCACTTTGGTCTTCTGCTTTGGACAGCTGTACACGTACTGGGGAATGGAATATACTGGGAAAATAGTGGTGAGTTACCAAAGTAATTTATTTAATGATTAGCCTGGTCAACCGTCCCCTCTGCAGTCAGTTGACCAGGCCATTCTATGTGACTACAGCACTTAAATGGTGTGAAAGTGCTGGCTAGCTGGGCAGATAAAATGCTTAGAGGAAATCAGGCGTAAATATAGAGGACTATCAAGCTTCTTCCTAAACATAAATATCAATAGGTCATTTAATCCATACTATATCACTGAAGAGGTGGAGAGATAAATCCCTCCAGAACAATTATAAAATACTTTATCATAGGGAATCTCACACTTTTGCCTTTACTGTTGGTGAGTAACCCAGGAAGAAGTGATCTGGTCCTAACAGTGGCACAAGCTGCTTCACAGGCGCTCACTGCAAGACTCAGTCTCCTGCGGTTTCCCACAGGTACAAGAAACAGTGCAGAGCAGAAGCTCCCTGCTATTGCTCTTGTCTTCATCCGAAAAAGAGAGACTGCTCCTCACTTATGCTGCTCGTTATCCTAGCGCCTGTGTGTTACCCCTTGCTGTGCTGATAAAGATGAAGTCCGTTTCCCAGTAAGCAATGCTTCTTAGCATTCATAGTCCAAAATACAGCTGGACTCAGTAATGGTACAGTGACAGCCTTTGGGTCATGTCTTTGTCTTATTCTTCCCTTGTGTAATTTGTGGGAAGCCAGAGGAATCCTAATAGCTATAAAGCCGGTGTATTGGGCGTAGAAGCTGAAGCGTGCCCTGGGAGCCTGCTTAATAGGCACTTCAGCACCGTGGAAGACTTTGGCCTAATTAAGGCTACATACAGTATAATCCACATTGGGTATTAGAAGTGAGTTTTATTTATATATTTACCTTAAAAGTTAGCTGATAGTTAAATATTAATCTTTACAACTTTAAAAAGCTCCACAGACTGATAGCATAACACCACATATTGTTATACTGCTTTTCCATTTAATCTTGCTTTCAGCCAGATCAGCAATGCTGGGAAGTTACTATACCAGAGGCAACAGCGCCTTTATCTGACATACTATTTTGAAGGCAAAGTGCACTTCTGAGGCTCAGCTGCCATGAAAGGATGAAGCTTTGTTGGAAAAAAATCCTTTGTATTCTACAAAATGGACTCATGACAGAGTTTTATGATATAAAGGGAAAAGAAAGGCTACAGAGACACCTAGAATTAGCTAGGTCCAGATAGTCTTATTTTTCAATGTAGGCTCTTTCTCGGTAAGAAAAACATAACTTATTTATGAAAACTTTTGGCTAATTAACTTTCCTTTTTGACTGCTTTAATTTTTTACTGATGGATGATGCTTGTTGCAGGTTCAAGCAGAGGTAATTTATGGGCCCAGTTATAACTGCATTGTTTTCTACTGTGAATATATGACTGGTCTCAATGCATTATGTCTACTTCCTTGACAACTGAAACTCTGACTTGGACATGACATTCAGTGAGTAATAACCAATAATGCAGCTTCCACTATCAACCTTCGGATGTAGTTCTTTGTGGTAAAATTTATGCAACATGCAGGTTTATGAGGACTATGGCAGGTACTTAGCAGGTGCTTGAATACTTGGCTAGAGCTAACGGGTTTTTTTTCCATTACTCATACTAATCTGAAAAACTTTTTTATTTGCAAAGATAGCTGCTAAATACTTTTTTACTGTTTAATCAGCTCTTCTGGCAGGGCCTGCTCTTAAAAGGTCATCAGAAGCAAGAGTATACATAATATAAATTTTTGCATGTGTTTGTGTCAGTTGAAGTCCCAAGGACACAACAGAAGCGCAGTAAAGCCAATGACAAGCTTTCCTTCAAATTCAGTGAACTCTTGGCTGGACTTCAACTTCATTAGCATTAGACATACTAGACATTTGTAAATACTTACACTTGTTTGCTATTTGGGGAGGAAGAGCATTGCCAAAGGCACAGCAGGAACAAACGATCCATCTTCCTCA